CATAGAACCTCATTCCAGTACTCAAAAATGTTTCTCTTGCTGAAAATGAGGAAAAGCATCAGTGTGCTCATTATTTCTGGCAAATATGTGAGAGATAGTCCCTGAAGCCAAACTTTATACTGGCAATCAGAAAAGTGTTTTGAAAATGCTCAGCCGCATATCTGTCCAAGAAAGCTTCAATGGCCAAAGACAGCTGGGTGCTTAATATGATAAAATCCTTAGTCAAACATATGGTCTTCTCCACATGGGAGTGCTTTCCTATAATAACCTTCCCAGTTTATTTCTTTTTCACAAAGAAATCAAACTGTCTAAGCACCACTATACACATAAATAGCATGTGTTATTTATTTCACATATTTATACAGAAATACTTCTGTCATTATAATAAGGGAGCTTAAAAAATGTACAGCCTGTATTAGAGCCGAATGACACATATCTGTGCAATGCTTGACTTGACTTTGTCCACAGACCGTTGTAGGGCAATTTTTGAGGGATTTCTTGTTAAAGAACATGATGATGATTCAGGGAAACGGGCACATCCCAGGTAGATCAGACCATATCAGAGGTGCTATCAGCTTGGGTACGCCTAAAACACTGTAGATTGTTCTCAAGGATTAGAAAGTAATCCGAGAGGGTACACACAGTGAAAGACCTTCCAGGTCAGAAATCCTTGAAGAAATAGGAACAAAGACACCCCTGTTCTCATCCCTCTACGTTGATAAAGAAAACTCTTCTGTGATGCAAGTATCAAAAAGTTGTTCAAATGGCTTTTATATTGTGATATGTATTGAAACCTGTTTTACCACTGACTTTCACTTCAAAGACTACCTTTTTTTTTTTTTTAATGAGGCTACTGGTCAGCTTAAAAATGAAGTGAATAGGAGTAATATTCAACTGAAAGAGTGAAGAATAAATTTCAGCGAAAGTGAAATTAAATGGAAAGGAGAAAAAAGAAAGAACTTGGACATGTTTTGCAGAAAAGATGAAAGAGAATGAGTTTATATGAGCAGTTTTGCATTGGACAATTCAGACAATAGTTGGTACCGTTAAAAGAAATATGGAGGTCACAGAAGTCCCAAATTTAGGTTAGTTAAGTTCAATCTTATATTAGGTCGGGTAAGTCCAATTTTATTTTATTTATCTTATTTTATTTTATTTTGTTATTTTATTGTTAGTTTCAGGTGTACAGAACAATGCAATAGTTATCCTTTTCACCCTTCACACAGAAACAGTCCCCCTCCCCCATCTACTGCCCTCCCATCCCCGATATCATACTTATCTAGTACAATTCCATTCACTCCATTCCCACACTCTACTCCATGACCCGTGACTATATGTATATATAATTATAGCTGACATACAATGTTATTCAACATCAGCTTCAGAAATACAGTGCAGTGGTCAGGCCTCTACACCGACTATGAAGTGGTGGACTCGTGTCTTGTTAGTCCAATTTGATTTTAGATGGAAAGTTTAATTAAAAAAGAGATGGTAGAAATTGTGAGATATTTCTAGACTGAAAATGTGCATTTGGGAAAAATGAATTTTCCAGAGGAGAGTCTATTGAGGTAAGCAAGTGAAGAACACTGCTTTGAGGACCATCTATATTTAGGGAGAGAGAAAGGGATGAAAAATCAGAGCAAATGAAAGAGGATCAAAGGCAAAGAGGATCATCTCAGAGATGTAGCAGCCATCCCAAATGCCAGAAGACGTCATTGGGTTGCATGATTAGTGGTCATTGCTAACTTTACAGAGAGCAATTCCAGTACTTGTTTGTAATTGAAAACATCCTAAGTGATTAACAACTGAAGATTAAGTCCCGAAGTTAGGGTACCTAACAAAATATTAAACAGTCATTAAAAATCATATTTTCAAATAATAAATGAGCTAAGATAGTTTTGATGCTATAGAGATATGCAAAGAGTATACCTATTAATATTAAGAGATAATTTCACAGTGTGTGTGTGTGTGTGTGTGTGTGTATATATATATATATATATATATATATATATATATATATATATATATGTTTTTTCATAGACCCAGATAACCAGACATGATGATAAATGCAAAGATAACCACCTCTCTTGAAGAGTGGTAAGCTAGTTCCATGAATCAAGACCATCAGACATTGGAAACCTGATTGTTTCTGTGTATCACAGAATTAGACTCGGTTTGGCTCAGTTAAGTTTGAGAAAACTACCTTTGGCTCTGTTGGCTGATGAGTCCAGTAATTAATGCATTTCTTAAGAATTTTCATAAATTAGAATATTAGGTTAACTTTTTTAATTCTGTGAGGGATATCTTTATTTTTTGGCAACTGAAGAAACTGGAACAAATTTGAAACAGGCCTTTTTGCCCCAAAACAGTATGGTCTGTAACAGAAGCACACCTGAGCTATTATTCATGAGCAACAACATACAATCAGCCAATTGTACATGAAACAGCCAGAGAATTTTTGAGCAGGAAGGGACCTTGGAATTCATCTACATTGGGGCCAAACAAGTGACAAATGTTTGAATTAGACAGCCTGTTTAAACTAGAGAGAGTGATGGGACCCATGGTGAAATGTCAAGTGTGAATTCCTCCTGAAGAATTTAAAAAGGAAAATTGTGCATGTCATGGCGGCCCCAGGAAAGAGAAGGCAGAATCAGCCAGCAGACACCATGGGGACCCCTGATCTCTATCAATCTCCTCATTTTTACAAGTAAGACTATTTTACACTCACATTAAATGACTCTATGTATATTACATAACTCCCAGGTCACAATTTCCTAGCCCAGAGCACTCTGTAGGATCACACCTTGAGGCCCTCTGACCTTGTTGTCAATCTTTTGTAGGCAGCCATTCCATCTCCGAACACACAGAAGTACTGCACCCATATCAGATCGGGGTGTTGCACCCATTCCTCTATTCTTTAGCACTTACTGTATTATAACCCCTGAACATCTTGATAGAGAAAAAACAGGTAACATGGATGATCTAATTTAGAAATGCTTTCGCTTGTTAAAACATGCATAACCTGCATGAAGTTTTCTCAAAAAAATAAAAAATAAAACTATCATATGATTAAGCAATCATGCTACAGGGCATATCATATATCCAAAGGAAATGAAATCAGTATCTTGAAGGGATAGTTACATGCTCATGTTTATTGCAGCATTATTCACAATAGCCAAGGCATGGAAACAGACTACATGTCTGTCAATCAATGACTAGATAAAGAAAAGATAGTATAAATATGCAATGGAATATTATTCAGCCATAAAAAAAGAAAAGCTTGCCATTTGCAACAATATGAACAAATGAAACTTGAGGGCATTAGCTAAGTGAAATAAGCCAGACAAAGAAAGACAAAATGCTGTATGATCTCATATGCAGAATCTAAAAAAGTCAAACTCAAAACCAGAGAGTAGAATGGTGGTTCCCAGGGACTGGGAAATGGGGAAAATGGAGAGATGTTGGTCAAAGGGTACAAACTTTCAGTTATAAGATGAATAAGTTATGGGGATCTAATGTATAGAATGGTGATTTATAATTAATAATGCTACATTTTATACTTGAAATTTGTTAAGAGAGTCGACCTTCAGTGTTCTAACCAAACCAAAATCAAAACAAAACTAAACTAAAAAAAGGTAACTATGTGAGGTGATGGGTATGTTTAATTAGCTTGATTATGGTCATCATTTCACAATGTATATGTATATCAACCCATCACACTGACACCTTAAATATATATGATTTTTATTTATCAATTATATCCCCAATAAAGCTAGAAAATAAGACATAACTTGTTTCGTCGCATCTTCCAAATATTTAATACTGTCATGTGCTGCTTAATGAAAGGGATGTGTTGTGAGAAATGTATGGATAGGCAATTTTGCATTGTTCAAACATCATAGAGTGCACTTACACAAACCTAGATGGTGTTGGGCCGGCCAAGTGGATCAGTTGATAAGAGTGCGAGCTCTGAACAACAGGGCCGCTGGTTCAATTCCCATATGTGCCAGTAAGCTGTGCCCTCTACAGCTAAGATTGTGAACAACAGCTCAACCTGGAGCTGGGCTGCTATGATTGGCCGGCGATGGCATAGGCTGCAGTGGGGCTGCCGTGAGCCACCATGAGCGGCCGTCCAAGGGCTGGCAACTGACATCACCCAGGAAGAGTGCAATGATAATACCAACATGGGCCAGTGAAGCAACGTCCTCCACAAGACTGAAGAACAAAAGGACAACAACTTATCTGTTCCCCCTCCCCCAATTCCCCAAAAAATCTTTAAAAAGAAAAAAAAAACCTAGATGGTATAGTCTACTACACACCTAGGCTAACGATATGATAGAGCCTACTGCTCCTAGACTACAAGCCTGTACAGCATGTTACTACACAAAACAACACAAGAGAAAATAATGCAATCAAGAGACACAGTAAACATGAGATTTTGAGGCCACCGCTGTTGTAACACGGCATACTGTTTTACACCAACCTTTTTTTAATAAGTGCAAAGAGTATACACTAGCATAACAATAAAAAATAACTATAGTAAATACACAAACCAGTAACATTGTCATTTATTATCATTACCAGATATTATATATTGTACATAATTGTATGTGCTATACATTTATAGAACTGGCAGCACAGTAGGTTTATTTAACCAGCATCACCACAAACATGTGAGTAATGCTTTGTGCTCTGATATTATGATGACTAAGGCATCACTAGGTGATAGAAAATGTTCAGTTCCATTATAATCTTATAGGACCACGATCATATATGAGGTCCGTCGTTGACCAAAATGTCATGATGTAGCACGTGACTGTAATCACATATATTTGTGAATATTTAGGCAGCAGCCCTGGCAGCAGCACAAACATCACAAATTATGGCTCTTGGATAACACTGCAGTATTGAATAGATTTAAATCACTAGTTGTGGTTTAGTGGGAAAAGTATTGAATTCAAATAGCTGTGGTTTAAGCCCTGACTCTGACACTTACTTACTTTCTGTCTAACATTAGGCAAGTAACTTCACTTCCCAATTTTCTCATTTGCAAAAGGGCAATGCAGTAACGCCGACCGATCATCCAGAGTTGAAGAATTAAAGGCCTTTCCTTCACAGAGTTCACCAGTATATCTACATATAGGTAAAAATTTTAAATTTAGCACAATTTCTATCTAAGAAATAAAATCATAATTATGTTTGAAGTTGTCACAGTACACTTCCTCATCCTGGTTAAATTTGCTCATGAATGAGTTCCAGTAACTTAAGCCAAACTTATCTCCAAAGTCTGAGGGAACCTGTTCTGACATTGATGAACTGAATTAAATGACAAAAAACTTCCTTATTTATGGGAATCACAAGGCGTTAACACCATTTAGTGCCAGTTGCAAGTTTAGACAGCAGTGTTGAATCAAACATGGAAACAAACACAGACTACACATCTCTTCTTGCATACATATATATATATATATATATATATATATATGCAATATCTTAAAAATATGCAATAATCATTGAAACTATAAATATGAGCCAAGGCATAAGAGACTTGTAAAATCATTTTCAAGATCCTCAACAAGTTTTTGGTAGAAGCTACCTGAAAAGTCTTTATATTTTTAGTTACTTAACATATGTTATCTAATTTACAACTTTAAGCTAATTGTTTATTTTTTTGTACTTGGCACGTATAAACCACCTCAGTTTTAGGATAATTCTATGAATTCCATGTGTCAGTCATACTTGGTGATTCATTATTTGGAAATGTGCAATGGATTGTTTTAATATTATAGAGGATATAGTGCCTCTCATTATTTAGGAAAGTAAACATTTAGCAGTATCTTTATACTTGAGGAATTTTGATGTGACCTGATTATTTCTTGTAGTTTCTACATATCTTGGGTTTATTACATCAAATTAATGAATTCCATTTACATTTTGTTTTACAGTGCCTTTTTAATGTCCCCCCTCTTTCTGTATTAATTGCTCTAGGCAGTAGTTAGATCCAACGAGATCGAGTGGGACTTATCTTTTGATAAGTCTGGATTTGACGAGCCAAATTGTTATTTAAGAATCAGTAGATGTAGGAGATGATCACTGTGATATTGATATGACTCATGATGAAAAGATACCTTTTTAGAGCCCATCCTCAGTTCCAGCTGTTCTCCATCAATAGCGACTTGTGTTCTGTAACTTTAAGAAAACTGAAAGTTTCAAATCTATATCTCGAGGGTAAAATAATTATTGAAATGTTCTGAGGTTAGCTAATGGAGACACCTCAATATTTCCAAGTTATTCTTGCTTTGACTCCTTATTATTCAGACATGATTTGAAGAGGAAGCAATCACTCTGCTGTCCTTTCCTATGCCACTGAGCAGCTTCTTAATCAAGAAATTACCTGAGGAGAAGATCATTCTATCTAAGGCTATATTACATAGAATGGTGTCAGCCACTTTTTTTTTAATAAGGGAATGATACATAAATGATGTCCTCTGATTTTCATGTAATTGGCATTTCTCTTCATTTGTAAAATTAACCATTTTTAAGCTGGAAATTTTTGACATACAGAAGACAAATAAGAAAGCTAAAAATCCAATGTTTAACCTTCAAAACTAACCTTCAACTGGTTCCTACACTGCATTCCAAAAGAGGTTTGCCTAGTGCCAAACCTTTTATTTGGAAGGGTTGTGAATCTATTCCTTGTGTGGTACTACTGCTTCAATTATACATAAATATTTTACAAGTAATCTTGGCCAAAGAAGCCTTCAGTTGTTATTATTGAAAAGGGTTTCTGTTCCAGTGAGTGGTTTTACTCCTGTCCAATTCATTTTACATTTACATTTCCTGTCTTCAGATGCCAAAAAGTGAGTTTTACATTTGAGCTTTATTGATCTAAAAAAGTTCAACAAGTTCGCCATTGTAATTTTAAAAATGTACAGCTACTCGAATGTGGGAGGGTGTGTTCTTAATGCTGAGAAGTAGTGTTAGTTACACACACGACGTTCCTGATTAGTGTCTCCTTTCAGAAATTCCGCACATGTGCTTGGGAAAGTTAAAATATAGTTCTAGTTTGTGCCCATCTCTACTCCTGACTAGATTTGTCACCATCAGGCAGTTACTCGACCTTTTTAAGGCTCACTTTTCTTAGCGGTAAAAGAGCGACCACAACAAAACAAATCAGTGCCTAATTGGTAGGATAGTTTTGAAGATTAAAATGAGATAATGCGCATAAGCCATTTTCACAGGGTTGGTACATAATAAGATGCTGGATATACATCCTACCATTATCATTATCATATTATTAGCAATTTAGCTTGATTTCAAGTAATATTACAAGATGAAGAAAATCACATGGGGTTTTTCCAAGCAGGATGATGGCACTTCCATGTGTCCCCGAAGACCCCCACGCCAATCCTACCCAGCACTTCTTTCTGCTGTGGAATGTCCCGAACTGCTTACCTGTGCAACCACTTACACCTTCCTAGCACAGGATGATAAGCTCCATCGGGGCTGAGACTATCTGGCTTACCGCACATCCTCAGGCAACTTCACAAAAAACGATCATTTTGAGATGATTAAATAAATCAATCAATGCATTTATTCCTAAATTATATGAATCCATTTCTCTTCAACTCTGTTTCCTTCTGATAGCACTTAATAAAGGGTCAAAGAAACAATAACCCTTAGTACTGGGGGCATCCACACTTTTTCTACATAGTAATGTTTCCTGGATTAATAAACCTGTTTAAATTCCATTTTAACTCTGCTTAGGTATTGTCAGCAGCACGTTGGTAATCTCCCTTTTTAATTATGTTAATTAGCCTTCAAAACTGCCAGGGTTCTCCTATAGCCCTTCAAGTAGGGCTCAAAACCATAGCTACACAAAGCCACCTGTCATTTGGCTCCAAGCCATGAAAGAATCCCACTTGACAGTTTATCCAATTCAAAACTTTCTATTTCAGCCACAAAAGAAAAAGCATCCTTGTGACACTTTACCATTCTTCTATGAGCCACGTCATTCAAAAATTAAGGATCTGATACGAATCTTACCTGTATAATTCATCAGTTCTTCTACACTGTTCAAAAATTAATCTACCTTCCTTTAAAATATTTTCATACAATTAAAACAATTCTGTCTCACACTTTTATATAGATATATTATTCTGTTATTTTATTTTCTCACATGTAACCTAAATTGGTTGACTCTTTTTTCCTACTAGAATATAGGCACCTGGAGAACAGAACCATACATAATATCATAAAATAATAGATTTTTTAATGAGAGTTGGATATAAGTAAATTGTTGTAAGTAAGTGGTGATGTAGAAACCAGGATGGATTTTTAAATGACAGTTTTAATCTTACTTGTTTATGTACTGCACAAACCAATGACAAGGATAGATAAAGGCTTATTTTTTTTAATATCTGAATGTGGCCACACTTAATCTACATGTTTTTTTTTAATCTCAGAATCAGCTCATAATCAGAAATCATAATAAAACAGTTTCCTTTATGCCGTGTGCTTCATATCATATTGCTTATTGTGACAGTAGTTAGAATGTACTTTGATATAGTAAACAAATTGAAACTCAAGAAAGTATTTCCTTCTTACATACTCCACACTGCTAATATACTAAATGGAAATTTGTTCATTAATGAAACATTCATTGAGCACTTACTATAAATTAGACACTATGGTAAGCACCAAAGATAAAAAGATGAATAAAACATAGAATTAGGAACTCATAATTTAGACACATAATGTATAAACATGTAAGTATTAGGATTAATTTGATTCAAAATTTACATAGAACGTGTATATGAACATGCCTATTAGAAATATGGTATTTCTAAGTTACCAAATACTTGTCTGAAACGTGTTGAGTGAAATTAATTTTGAATTGTCGCATTTTACTGAATTTGTTTTCTCCTTCAAAAAAAACTCAGCTTTCTCAATACTTTATTAATGTGGAGGCCAAGCAACTTTTAATTTTTGAAGTTTATGATATTGAAGTTATCTTTGATGTCTCTTGCTGCTGGACCGCTGATTTTAAATGATACCTGAATCTTATCACCACTATCATGGTGGCTGTTGCCACATGTCTCATGGAATGTTTCATAAGCCATACAAATCCTTCTGTCAAAGCTGATGATGGACCAATTTTCAGAGGAGTGAGTATTCCCTTTGCACTTGAATCCCTCAATGTGAAACTATATGGTTTGCATTATATGTCCCTTCAGTAGAATATGGTTTTAATGGTATAAATTCAAGTTAGGAGTAATAATAAAACAATCATTCATTTTGTGAACTTTTAAAAATTGGATCATTTTCAGAAGAGCTGACCTATATATAATAATTCTTGTCCATCCTCTTTGTCTTTAACTCCAGCTAAAAATTCTTCCTGAATGTCAATTAAAAATGTAAATACCAGTTGGAATCTGACCTTATGAAATCTGTAGTAAGTGATTCACTTGAAAAAATCTAATAGAGTTTTTGTCAAAAAAAAAATTCTTAAACACTAATTATGAGTTCTCCCAGGAGAAATGGCATAAGAAATTGAGAATATTCAAAAGCAAATTGAAGAGTTTACCCAGAGTTAAAGGCTAGCGAGAACTTTGATTTCTACTGTCCTACTGGCATTCCACCCTCTGAAAGTAGATTTATATATGAAGAGAGATGAAAAATGCAAAACTATAATGAAAGCCCAATTAATTCTGTCTCTAAACTTTCATACATTGAATCCAAACAAGATTAATTAATGTTATGTTAATATTACCATTTTGAATATATATTTTCTAATGATGATAGTTGCCCCTGGCCATGTGAAAGTATATAGAGGGGGAAATATTCACCTGAATATTGTAAGAAATGAAAACAAGAAACTGAATGAGGTCCAAGAGTATAGATTGTTTTGAAGAAAATAAAAAATCCCCTGAAAAGTTCTATCAGCCAGGGGTCAACATAACAGTTAAGAAAATTCCCCGAGGAGGTAGATCGGTTGCCTTTCTACATTTGAAAGGGCAAATGTTCCCCAG